GAGGGGAGCAGCGGGAGGGCACCAAGGGCCGGGGCAATGTCCAGCTCTGCGGGGAGGAGCGAGAGCTCCGAGCGGGGTAAGGTGGGGGCTGGGTGCTGAGCAGGGGGTGCTGGGTGCTGAGCCAGCCCCCCCTCAATCCCCGTCGCAGGACCATGCCTTCCGCTTGCTGCAGCCCGGGGGGGTCCTCACCTACTGCAACCTGACCTCCTGGGGGGAGCTGCTGAAGACCAAGTACGACGACATCGAGAAGATGTTTGAGGTGAGCGTTGGACCCTGGGCTGGGGAGGGCCTGGCACCCCCCGCCCAGCCTGGGGTCCCTAAAGCCGCACCCCTTGCATCCCTGTGGATGCACGGCCCGATGCTGTGGCTGTGGAGCAGCACGAGCATTCCATGGCCGTTGAACTCATCCGTGACAGCTCAAGCTCAGTGGGAATGTTTGAGGGAAGGTCAGAGGGATTTTGCCCCCGGCAGCCCAGGATGGGGCTCCCCCCCCCAGGCCAGGGCTCAGCAGGATGTCGGCTCACATCCGGGCAGCTCAAACCATCGCTGCTCCATCCCACCCCTCCTCTCCCGCAGGAGACCCAGGTGGGGCACCTGCTGGAAGCCGGGTTCAAGAAGGAGAACATCAGCACGAGGGTGATGGACCTGGTCCCCCCAAGGGACTGCAGGTACTACTCTTTCCACAAGATGATCACACCCACCATCGTTAAGCACTGAGGGTGCTGGCACCAGCCCTGGGGGCTGCCCCGAAGGCAAGGGATGCAACTGAGGAGGAGGAGGCTGATTGTGTGCACTGGAGGAGGAGAAAAAGCTCTTATCTCCTTTGATGCTAACGAAGGAAGATTGAAGCTGATGTATCTGGAGGTGGGAGATGGCTGGAGGCTTGGGATGGAAGTTCTGGGTCTTCAGGGGACTTCTGGCACAAAAGGACTCCGGCAGACATCACCCTGCCCTGGAGGGGTCTTCTGGGGAGGAAGGTCCCACCCTTCCCCTGGCCCAGAGGTTTCCACTCAAGACTCATCTCCAAATACCTCAATTAAGCTGCAGTTCGAGATTGTAGCTCAGAGCCTTTAGTCAAAGGGGTTCAAGGAGGAGATGTTTCCTCTAAAAACAAGATTATTTTTAGAAATCATGGGATGGCTTTCCACACATGAGCCAAATAATCTAAACCAAGCAGAGAAATGGGGAATTCGGGGCAGCTGGAGACATTTCGGCTGCTCCTGGAGCAACTCCTCAGTGAAATTCCCCGAAACTTTTGGCCAAAGCCCACTGCAGCGAATTCTGATCCTGACAACCTCCGTGAGTTCAACAGTGCATAAATGATGTTTCCCCTCTCTACCCAGAAGGAAGAAAATCCATTAAAAAGGAACAAAATACACAACTGCTGTTTCAGAGCGACTTATTTGTCTTTCAAAAGTGCGTGTGTGACGCTGCAGTGACCGTTCCTCGTCCCAGGCTGCCGGGAGAACACCGCACCGGGCTCTTGGGATGCATCCAGTACTGAAGCCCACCATGGGCTGCTGTATTCCTACTGCGCCAGAGTGCTGCAGCATTGATTTTTATCAGTCATATTCTGATTTTAAGCGTTAATATTTTACTTACGTTACAGAAATACAGCTGATTTCTGGCTGTTGTGCGCACAGATTTATTAGATCCTTTGTAGGAATTATAAACAAAACGCAGGTGGTGAGGAAGGGACGAGCTCAGGGAGACCTCGGGGTTCACCTGGATGTTTGTTGGTCTCAAAACGTCCCAACAAAGCCCAAGAGCAAGTCCCAGGTTCCCAGCAAGACAGTTATTTCCCAATAGGGAATGTCAAACATTCTCCTTCCCTCACAGGCTATTCAGAGCAGAAAACACCACATTGAATGTTACCAAATCCAACTCCTGCTTTTTAATTCAGTTTTTAAATGAGTTAAAACCACTTTAGATACAAGAGCAATATATTAAAGACAGAAGAGCTTCTTAACCAGGTAGAGGTTTATTGGAAGGCTCGTGAGAATCCAGATTTCTTGTGCGTACGGATGCAAGCAGGTGCCCCGGGTGGGCAGTAAGTGGGTAGGTCATAAATAAGAGGTTATTTCCTGTACCAGATCTGAATCTTCTTCTCCCGTTTGATTTTCTTCTGAAGCTGCAGGATTCCATACAGCAAAGCTTCAGCCGTAGGTGGGCAACCTGAGAGAGAGAAAAAGGAAGCCCGCGGGGCTGCTGGCTGCCCTGCAA